GGGGCCTGTGCAATGGTTACTTCTGTAAATATAAACTGTAATCTGGGTTTAGGCCAGATTTAAACTAGGCTAAACACTGCTGCAAGTCCAGATCCTTTGGGCTGCTTTCAAACCTCTGGAGATATTTCCTCATCTGTGTCAGCCTCTCATCTGGCTTTGGACTGACAGCTGCTTTAATGGGGCGTAATAGCAGGAAATCAGAGTGGGTTTCCCTCCATATACGTGTGTATGTGTATGCAGAGGTTGGGTGGGGGCGATGTCAGCGTTATAGGGGTGCAGGACAGAGCCCCCGCTGTGCCTCTCAAACCCATGTCAGGCCTTGGGGGCTTGCTTTCTCTCTCTCTCTCTCTCTCTCTCTCTCTCTCTCTCTTTACCACACACACATACGCAAACCATTTCTATATCAGCCTCCTCCCCTCTCCCCCCTCGCCTCCTTGCAGCCCTCCCTCGCCTTGCCCCATAGAAACCCCATCCGCGTCCGTGAGCTGCAGGCCACACAGGAAGTTGCCCTAATCAGGGGCACCCCGTGACACTGACACTGTAACCAGAGTCCACGTATGTAATGAACTTCGTGGGTGAGATGAGAGCACATGTGGATGTGTGCATGTCTCTTTATGCGTGTGTGTGTGTGCGCTTGAATTTTTTTATTTCTTTGCAATAATAATTATTCATCAACCACCCACCTCTGGTTAGCTGATTAGGTCTCCATAGCAACAAAGGAGAGCAGCAGCTACAGAGATTTTTATCAAGAAGCGAATGAATTAAAATTATAATAAGACATCTGTGACACACAGTGTTACGCTGCTCAGTTAAAGCGCTGCACTACATTATTCATGCCGAAAATCAGATTGGCTGTTCCAAAGAAAACTGCCCGTATTCCTAGTTACTACAGGCTAAAAGAGCAGCGGATGAGAGTGTCAAGGACTTGTATTTTCTGCAGGGTTTATCCATAAAACCCTGATCTATTAAAACCTGTTAAAAGACATAAAGCATATGAAACATTTCCCCCTCTTTTTCTCAGCTCAGAATCCTGTCAGCCTAATGTGAACCTCTCGCACACAAACCGCACAGCCTCTCTCAGGACAAATCTAATAGAGATTAGCATGTTCTCAGAGCACATCATAAATAATCCAAAAAACGTGTACCTCCTCAGGCCCCTCTTTCAGCAGCAGGTGAATTACTCTATAAAAAAAGAGTAAAAATTAGACAGAATAAGGGGAGCAAATAGGAGAAGTCTGAGGAGGAAAGGAAGTTTTGCGGTGAGTGATATAAGGGCTGCGAGGATTGACACGGATCCAAAATAAACATCAGTTTTTTTGGTGCAAAGGGAAAATAAGATACAGAAAAAGTATGGGTGCAGAAGTAAGAGGGAGGGCAGGAAGACAGAAGAGGAGGAGGGGGTTAAAACAAGGGATGGTTTGCAGCTTTTTCTGGGTTCTGTCTCAGACCATGAAACTGACAAGCTGTCATGCTGCATTAGCTGCAACGTTCCACAATGTTTTCCTCTTTACTGTAGAAACAGGCCCGACTTCTCTGTAACAGTCTGAAAGGATATCGTACAGTGAGCCGTGCACTCCATTTGTCTCCCGGAGCGGCTTTAATGGCACATAAGAGGTTGTTTGGTTAAATCTGAACATATCAGAGACAACTTAAGGCCTTAGTGGGTGCCACGCCAGCCAATTTTCCTTGGAGGTCATCACAAGGACTCGCTGTTACAGTCGCACTGCTTTTCCCCTTTGATGAATACCATTTTTTGCATTTGTTGTGATATCTATATAATTTGTTGACCTGTGATGATAAAAACTAGGCTGACCCTCAAACAGTAGTCGCCTAATGATGCCCCATAAATAGTCTGCACCACACTACATGCATAAAAGTGACTTCTGGCAAACAAGCTCCTGCACATAAGGAGGGTTACAAGCTTGTGAGATGTCAGGGCCTTAGTATGCTTTCATCCTAGATAGAGTGGACTTGAGTGCACGCATACGCTGCCAAACCCACTCACTTGGCAGCCCTTGTGCTCCTCTGCACCCCCAGCTCTCTTTGCTCGCTCTCTCCGCCGCTTACGCTCTCCACTTTGCCATTTCCCCCCAGCCCTACGACTCCCTGTCTCAGTCGCTTACGTCCTCTCTCTCTCTCTCTCTCTCTCTCCATGACTGCTCTTTTCCGGCTCCCTGCCCTCCGCCAGCTCCACTGACCTCTGACTCTAAATATGGCTCATGTTTGTGGCTGTGTATGGAGCAGCGAGCGAAATATCGGGGTGAGCACGGCTGATGAATGTACACAAATCCGGCTGTACAGTGCAGCACACTGCGCATGTTTATCCCCACCCCCTTCCACGCCAGTTTTACCCTTGAAGAAGCACTTTCTTTCAGGCTGCTTACAAATCTGGCCTCCTCCAGCAGAATTGGCAGCTGCCGACCCCAACAATGGCTCTTAACATAACCATAACCATCTCCAACCTAAAGCGTTTGATACCCATTAAAACCCATAATGGGTCCTTCAAATGAGGCGCTTAATATCTTTTTATTCTTGTGCAAAACAGGGAGCATCTATAATATTTCTGTTGCAATAAAATGGAGATTTATTTGGATACTCCACGGACCCAGCTGCACAGTAAACACAATCTCGTGAAGGGATATGAGATATTCGACATTTTTCCATCTGTATTGCCTATGTCTGATATATCTTATTTCATAAAGCACAAGTGCTGCAGCTCAATTTGACTAATTTCTACACACATATTACTAATGTACTATTACATTTGAAAAAACTTTTTTAATATTTGGGATTTACATTTTTTCTTTTTAGAAGAATGGCCACCGACATACGGGATAGGAAGGCCTTTTTGTGGGATTAGTTATAAATCTACAGCAGCCTTTATTTCTTCTTTGACCCCCGTGTGCCGTTTTATCCCCCTCATTTAAAATATTTAAACTAAGCAGATGTTCAGCTATCTTATTTCTTGCTAATGAGGAATTGTCTTGAAGCATTTCTAGCCTTACATCTTTGACCCTCTTTCTCTCTCCCACCAACCACCCATCCATAACAGCAAGTCAGGTGGTTTGGGTTTATTCACCGCCAACCTCGCTGTTGCTATCAGTTACAGCGAGGCGATCTAGAATGATGTCATCTGGGTTTTTCTTCATATTCCATTGTGTTTAAAGCCAACCTGACTTATGTGTGTTTTTGTGTGTGTGTATATATGTGTCAGGGGCTTCATGCATCAGTCAGGAAATTACAGGTGTTGGTTTGTTTGCATTCAAGGCTCAGCTTGCAGCCGCACTCAGGAATCTTTTCTGAAAGCCATATCCTCCTCCTCCAAGGTTTCCTTTAAAGCTTCTGAGCTTTGCCAGAAATTAAAAAACAAATTCATGTCAAACTTCACTTCAAGAAAATATTCTCAAAGAAAAGGAAATCACTGTGTATGTTTCATTTTCTGTTCTGCAACAATTTTATCTTTTTCCCTTTTTTTACCCATAATTCCTCATTCTGCTGCTCTGTTCTTATCCCCCTCACAGTAGGTTTGGTACTAAGTGTGCCCGCTGCGGGCGGCAGATATACGCCAGCGACTGGGTGCGGCGTGCAAGGGGGAACGCATACCACTTGGCATGTTTTGCCTGCTACTCGTGTAAGAGGCAGCTGTCCACGGGAGAAGAGTTTGGTTTGGTGGAGGAGAAGGTCTTGTGCCGAATCCACTACGACACCATGGTGGAGAACCTCAAACGAGCAGCTGAGAGCGGTGAGTGGTTGGGTAAATGACAAGATATATCTGAAGCTGTGCTTTTCAGCAAATTTATTGCCTGATTGAATCATTCCTTGTCATAACTATTTCAAATGATTGATATCTGTTAATTTTCTGAGAACGGTAATACCTACAGAATTAGCATGTTATGCTGCAAGAGTAGAAAAGTAGGCCACGGCTCTTAAATTTGGGTCCCTGCTGGGGCATCAAAACTCCTGAGGTCCCTTTGATATGATACATTTCAAAGAGACTATAGATGTCTCCTGACATCTATAGTCACTTTATTTATCACTGAACTATTATCTGACTTGCATGCGTGTGTGTATTTTTGTAGGCAATGGCATCACATTAGAGGGAGCAGTTCCAACAGAACAAGACAGTCAACCCAAACCGGCCAAAAGAGCACGGACATCGTTCACCGCAGAACAGCTACAGGTGAGAAACGCTCTCAGCAACACCGAAGTGCACAACGTTGATTTACTGTGCCAAAGCCCTGACACAGTACCTAATATTTTGTCTCATTGTGCAGATCATGCAGGCACAATTTGCTCAGGACAACAATCCGGATGCCCAGACGCTACAGAAACTAGCTGACATGACAGGCCTAAGCAGAAGAGTCATACAGGTGAGCAGTGTGTATAAAAAGCACGAATGGATGACGTCAATATAATTAAATGTTAAAATGCTAAACTAATGGAACACATTCTTACAGTACACTGAAAAGATAAACTTTAAGAATATAGCCACATGATGTCTGGTTACATTGCATCTTCATAGGTGTGGTTTCAAAACTGCAGAGCAAGACATAAAAAGCACACGCCCCAGCACAGCGGGGCTCCTCAAGGTCATCCTCAGTCCAGGATACCCTCATCTCTGCCCGATGAGCTGCATTACTCTCCGTTTGGCAGTCCCGAGCGAGCGCGCATGGTGGCCCTTCATGGGTACATTGACAGTGAGTTATCATTTACTGTGGTGTAAATAGGCACATCATTTTTAGTATTTGTTTTGACTTTTTAAATTATGGGAGTTGCTTTGTAAGACACATTTTGCTTTTCTTTTCTTTTTTTTAATCTTGTGTGTTTTTTATGATTTGCTCCCCAGGTCATCCCTTCTCTGTCCTGACCTCTCAGAGTCTCTCTCATCAGGCCATGTCGCTGCCTCAGCTCCCCCTCAGTCGCTAGTTCTCCGACATGGCCCTTATGACCCCTGACCTCCCGATCCCAACCCCTGATCTAACATCAGTGATGTCTCATGAACCAACTCGAAGGTCATCCAGGAGTCAGCGTGGAGAGGAGACAAATATTGCAGGAGCCTTGTCCACTGAAACCAGAAAAAAAGAGAAATGGATGAACGAGATAAAAGCTAAAAAACCATCTGTGATTATGTTCTTTTCTGGGGATAGGACTTCCAAAAACGACTTTGAAGCGTTTATCATTAAACTCACAGACTATGTATCACACGGACCCTTTTGCTTCACGTGTACAGCATCCTCCACTCTACTCAGCCACCACCTAATGTGGAGGTGAAGGGAGCTTTAAAGGGATAAACTGAGCAAGGAAACTTCTTGAAGTGCTGTCAAAACACGAAGAGAAATTTAAAGGGGAACTAGCTTTGTGGCCCAAAGGCCACAGTAGACCACATTAGAGGTAAGGCTCCTGGCTCTTTTCTCTCTAAGCAACCATGAAGGAATCTAAATATAACAGGAATCTTTGATTGTTGAAATATTTTTTATTTCGGAATGACATATTGACTTTATGACGTCTCAGAAAACCAGAAACTTCCTCCTTCCTTTCCCACCGAACTGAGGTGCAGAATTAGAGACAAGAAAATATTACGTGCCTTATCTTTTCCAAAGTGATATTTCTCACTAAACATTTAACTGTTATTACGCAGGAAAAATTATGAGACTCCTAAATCTTCAATTGGCAGAAAATCACAAACTATTTAATAGACTCTGTTGTAGCATTTTGTCTGTTTACCATTTAATGAAGCTGCAAAGGACAACATTGGAGCTGTTGCGTGAATAAAACATCGGTTATAAGCAGGAGTTTGCAGACTTTAAACCGTTACAGTCCTGTTTAAAGAGGAAAGTCTGAGATGACCATACAAGTCAAACTTCACATTCCTGCAAAATCAGACCACATTTCCAGATTTTCCCACAGGTGTATTGTTACTAATTTATAATTTATAAGGTTGCTTGTTCAGCCTCTGTATGTGTGTGTGTGTTCCACACAAGCAGGCGGGGAATATTGTATTGGTACAATATAGACAGTATAAAATGACTGGGTTTGTACATATTAAGATGTGTGTGCGTCTGTGTGTGTGAATGTGTGAGTTTTGGCAGGGGTATAGAGTGTGCATTTGTATTTTAGTTCCATGGCCATAGTGTGAAGAACAGGATCCAACAAGACCTCAATGTCCTTGTATTTATTGAGATGGTAAATCCCTGTAAAGCACTTTTTCCCCCATTTGAAATGTTTTTTTTGTTTGTTTGTTTTGTTTAAAAAAAAACATGAAATGAAACAAAAGTTTATTTGATAGACTGTGCATCATAAATGTTTTGTGTAATAAAATGCAATAAAATAGAATGTGATATTTTTTTGGTGGCTTTGGATCATTTCTGAGGATAAACTAACAAAGCAATTATTCACGTTTAATTTTCCAAAACATGTCAACTGCGAAGCACAGACAAGTGTGTAAGACAATTAAATCGGGCTCAGATGGAATGAAGTTTCAAATGGTAAATACACAAATAAAATCCATAAATATAAAGTAACTCTGTGTTCCATGTGTATTTTTTTAAGTCAGGCATTGTGTTTCGCTGTAACTTCACTTCTTGTGTGTTTACTTTAGCATTTGTGCTTAGATTAGTGGTTAACAGTGTACATCCTCGTGTGTGCGTGTGTGTGTGTGTGTGTGTGTGTGTGTGTGTGTGTGCTGGGTCTGCATTTTTGTGCAAGACAAAGAGTGCATTATGGGAAATTTCTCCTGCTGTCAAGGGTGTTCATTCATTATTAATTTTATTTGATATTTTTTTAAAAGATGATCTGCTAATGGGAGTTTATGGCGATATGTTGAAGAGTAATTTAATGAGTGCCTGACGCTCGCCCAGCAGATCAAAGCCTTGTCAATGTTACCTGCTAATTTCCTATCTTTGGCAAATTACCTCAGATTGTAGTTTAATACACTCACTTTTGAATGCCTGCTAAAATCTTTCATTTAGGCATGAAAAAAACCCTGCAAAAAAAGCACCAAAGCCCCTCAAAACCAACCCTCACACATGAATGGCACATTTGTGTTACACCAGCAATCTGTGGTGTTTTGCACATCATTAATTCACTGTAAATAAGTCAATTCTTATTACAGGGATGGGAAATGTGTTGTTGGATAAAGTTAGAATAACAGAGTTGTTTGGGCAGCATGTATAAAGACTGTTTAACCCAGTTGGAAACTGATTGCCTGTCCTAATTCTTCTGGGTGTGAGATGTAAATCTGAAATAATACAGTATGGCAATCAAAGCACGTAATAAAACTGGATGTATTCTGTGCTGCCTGTAAACTGATTGTAAATGTATTTCCCAGATTCTTTCCATTCCTCTAGCTCCCTCTCTGTAATGCATACAGTATTATGGAAATTAAGATGAATGCACTGAAAGGCGGCTGTTGCACCTCCCAGAATTCATAGGCCACAGCAGCAATGTGGGTGGGGGGGAAATAAAACGAGATGATTTAAAAGCATGGACTTGATCATTTACTTTTCAGTCATTAATGCAAAATGTAATACAAGACAGAAATTCCCTATAGCTCGGTTTTAATAAATAACATGCTAAAAGTTAACATTGCTGCTCTCCTCACATCTGGCTGCAGCTGATTTTTCCGGCTCAGCGCCACAAACCTCATCCCAAGCCTTCCGACAAGTCCGCACAATCCACTCATGCTCCTGGTCATCTGGTGGAAAGATCCAAAGGGAAATTATTAGAATTTGTATCTTTTTATTCTTCTTTTTATTCCAGATAAAAGTGAACCATTTAACCATTCTTTTGACCTACACTCTAATAGTACAGATTTAATCATATAAAGGCGCACAGCAAGAAGCATTTTTGGTTGAACTCGCTTAAAACGTTTAAATCAAAAACCTAACAGCAAGCATTATCACACCGCAGGTCGCACTGAGTGCGAGGCAGCACCGTTGAAGTGCCATTTAAGTCTCGGTTAAATCTGTCAAAGCAAGATAAGCCCGACAATTAGCAGAAAATAACTTCTCAGAGCCACTTCAGACACCAATAAATAATAACCCCCACACACAAAAAATGGACGCCAATTTTTTTTCCCTTTCTTCTTCTTCTTCTTCTTTTTAACCGAAACGACTGCCAGAGGAGATGATAATAAACCAGTTTTTCGTTGTTAAAAACTGAAACGAGGAGCTAATTGCAGGGGAAGTCGGCTTTTCTCTCTGGAGCGCGCACAGCTGCACGCACTTGAGCGGCTCGCGGGCCTCACCCCTAGGTTCCACCGCGCGCGGGGCTCCATTGTACAGAGGAGCAGGTCTGCAGCTCTCCCGCTGATTGTGTGTAATTGCCGGCCGAGGGCGTCAACACTAACAGCCTCTTCAAGTGTGAAACGACCTCTCCCCTCATTCTCTGCCTCTCCTTTTCTACCTGCTCTGATCGGGAGGTCAATTGAACGCGACGGACACGCGGGCAGCTGCCGCCGCGGATCTTTGTAACGCATTTTGTTAGCGGAAAAGGTAATTACGGCAGCTCACACATAACTGAGCGGCCACGAGACTGACCTCAATTAACCACCAACCCCCCAAAACCTTCCTTAATGATAATTAGATTGGGGGGCATTTTCATATTTGCTGCAATTCCGCTCTCTTCAGTGTTGGCAGCGTTTATCTCTGGATTTAAGTCACGTGTAATTGGCACCTAAAGTTAGCTGAGGGTACAGGTGGCTGGCGTATTTACATGCGAGGACAGCACTTTTTTGTGATTTTTAAATTTAGCAGTTTTGACGGTGGTAATTATCAGGCAGGATGGGTATAACTGCAGTGAAATCCCGGGGTGTGTGTGTGTGCGTGCGTGTGTGTGTGTGTGTGTGTGTGGGGGGGGGGGGGGGTAATTATAAGAAGGAAAAGCAACACAACAATAACAGAAACAAACAGTTTTCTGGTCGACTAACAACCTACATGGAGAACCTTTATGTGAGTGTGTGAGAGGAGGGGAGTGTGTGCAAGCGATAATGGCACCTTGTTAAAGTCTGTTTATCTTAATCCTCAAAATACACTCAGAGAGAAAAGTGTTTCCTTCCAGCCTAATGGCAGTGGTGTAGCACACATGCACACATACATACATACGTATACATGCACACAAAGATATACAGCATGGCTTGACTACAAAAACGAAAATGGGTTTTCTTGTAGCACAGTGGTTGCATAAGAGATGAACAAGGTTCTGCTGAAGTAAATCCAGAATTTGGATAATATTCACAGGAACTCTGTGACTCGCTGAGAAACGACCTGACCCTTCACTGGTGCGATCGATGGAGCACACTTTTGGTTTCTAAGCAAAGGCTCTATGGAAATCAACAAAATGAACACTTAGACAAACATTCAAACATACATAAATAAGTCATCTGTCTCCAATTTTAATGTGGTTTTGTGTCTTGATGACACACACATACAACATGAAACAGCGATGGTTTTACAATTTCTAGCTGTAAATGTATTAATCCATCTGCCAGGGCTCACAGGATTAACACAGGAATCCTGTTTTATAGGAAAAGCAGCGTGAGGATATGTTGCACTCCCCAGCGGACCGGCTGATTTCTATCTGTCTGTGAAACACCTTGGCTGGAAGGGGACAAAGGGAGGGGCCGCGCTTTGGTCACCAGAGAGGTGTTTTCCTTGGCAGTGGAATGTGTTCGGTGTGCAGCTTGCTCTGCCCAGAGTCTCAACTGGAAGCGGTTATTCCAGAAACAGGAAAACGCTCCAAATAATATGGCAACACATGGCCCCTTCTGAAGCTGCCTGTTGCCAAGACAGAATGCAGTATTCACAACTGATTGTGTGTGTGTTTGTTTGCAGTAATAACAGAACGTATTCAGGCACTCGCCAGTGGAGATTTCCAGCGCAGATGTGACCTATGCATCCCTCATTCTTTTTAAATTACAGTTTCACAGAGCAGTGCAAAATGTCTTAATACCTTCAAACTTTTAGCAGCAATCTTCATCAGCAATGGCTAATTAAAGTACTAATGTATGTCCCTGGAAGTCTGCAGCAAAGCAGATTAAAAATAGCCTTGTGAGCTGTTTGTATTTAAAAATATTTAGTCTGTTGATTGTGTGATTTGGACTTAACATTTAACAGTAATCATTTCCCTGTGTTGCAGTCTGTTGGTTTTAATTAAGCTGCGTTTGTCTGTGACACAGTGAGGGTGGAAAGACACAACTGTTGTAACGATCTCATCATAATGAAAATAGAAATTATTAAACAAAAAAACCTCAAACTGCTTCAGAACTGCAGTCTAAAAAAAATCTATAGTGTTGTTTGTTTTCACATCATGTGCATTTATCAAACCTTCTCACCTACAGGCTATCTGGTTCTTTTAAACTGGATTCGAAAATCTCAACTGATTTAGTGAGATCACTCTTAAATAGGGATGGGTATTGATAAGATTTTCATGATTCCGATTCCATTTTCGATTCTGTTTAACGATTCGATTCTTTATCGATTCTTTTTTTAAAAAGGAGAACACTAAGGTCGAATAGCTTAGAACTTTGTTTTATATCTTCTCTTTGAACAAGATAGAAATTTAGGAGTAGCATGGCCTTACAAACCCAACAGTGAGATCTTAAGAGATCCACAGCCTATGGCTCTTAAATGGGGTGTCACAGGGTCCCCAGGAAAAAAAATTGTAAATGTAAAATTATAAAATAAATATTCTTCTGTAGCAATAACAAAGTATAACATAAATTATTCTGTAGCAATTACACAAGAATATCCAGTAATGTCCCTGCCTACAATTAAACACATTCACTTACCGAAAATCGGGGTATCTGCTGTGACAAATGGGTGCAAACCTTTTACCACAAACTTAGTCACTGCTCGGTGACATTCGTCTATCCTGGCCTGAAAGGAGACGCTACCGGTAGACTGCAGCGAGAGCTGCCAGCATCTGAGCCAGCCAGACTGTCTCTCTCATCATGGTCACCTAAATGCACAGTAATGGCAGGTTTTGTAATAAGGCAGATCGCGCTAACATAATATGCACTGTTAGTTGATTATTTACCTGCCGCATTAACGGGAGAGGACGTGCAAACGTTACCGCTGCTGCTGGGTTGAGATTCACGAGTCCGGAGTGGAATTAAAAACACAACATTCATTTAAAGTCATCGTGTGTTTTGTGAGCAAATGCTTTTGCATATAGTGTTTCCTCCCTTAATTAAATATCTACTTTGCAAGTATTGCACGTTGCCCTGTTCTCGTAAAGTACAATCAAACTTTTGAGCGTTTGAGCCGCCATGTTTCCTGCCAGCTAAATGGCGTTCCGCAACGTGGTGACATCATTCGGGGTGACTGGAATCGATAAGGGAATCGTTTGCAAAAATGGCAAACAATTCCAAGGAATTGAAACAGTGGGAACCGGTTCTCAACAAGAACCGGTTTTCGATACCCATCCCTACTCTTAAAGTTAGAGCACAAAGGTGCTCCCTCTATCTGCTGCTTGACATGCACTATACTCTTATTTTCCCTTGGTTTATTCTCCAGGTGAGCAATAAGTAACCTACTGCACCACCTACAAACTGCTGTGGGACTTAAGAAGAGGTAGTAAAACCAGAAACAAAATCTGCGATAGATGAATGTGTATTTTGAATCGCTTTCAATAACTGCACAGTGCACACTTCCTTTTTTCCTGTCCTCTGTTCAAAGCAGGAGGTAGCTTTGTATCCAAGTGACCTGTCTGACTCCTGCTCGAGACCCTTTTCCAAACTCCCTTCTTCCAGTGTCATCAAACCAAAAACAATAACTGTGCGGAGCTGTGCCAGTCTTTGAAATGCCTCTCGAATCCTAATGAGAAATTATTTTAACTGAGGCTATGAAATCACTAACTTTAGATATAAGAAAAAGAAAAAAGATAATTCTTTGCTTGATTAGAATCATAAAACTAATTTAGCAGATAATTTAGGACGGATTAGCTTTTCAAGACTGTATGACCTTAAATGAAATAATAAACAGCAGCCAAGAACGACACACTGACTTCATGCGTCAGCGTGTTGGAGGAGGACACTTATCATCTATAGGTTAAAAAGATCATTCCGTCGGCTTGCAGAGTCATTTTGGTCAATGATTAAAGTGAATATTTGTAATGGGCTTTGTGGAATTAACTGAGCAGACCACTTGGATTCAGAAAGAGAGGGTCATCCATTACTGTTGTCACTGTTTGAGTTGCAACTATTTGGCGTTGGCATTTATCCAGAGTAACTCACGTTTGAGGAGTGGTTTAGGGTTTGGTGCTGAGCTTGAGTAAACTTGAATATGAGGAACAAATTCCTGATCGTTCTATTAATGGCCAGCATCCTCTTTCATGAAATACATCTGTATCTGTATCTGAGGCTTATAAAGCAAAAGAGCACCGTAGTTGAGAATGTGTGGAGACAGCCAGCGTATTTGGAGATTGTAAACAGACTGTATATAAAAGATGGAAGTGCATTAGCGTTGCACTCTTTCCAATGGCCAGCAGAGGGCATTAGCAATGACCTCGGTAAACATTTTTCTGAGAGGTTCGCAGTCTCAGTCACTGGCTTCTTATTGGATACAGCATTTTCTAAATTATGATCAGCATCAGCCAAAAGGAGGCGAAAACAAGGTGTTTTAGAGTAACAATGCCCTTTGAGTTCTTTGTTTCTGGTTCCAAAACATGCTTATCTCGAGGCTTTACAAATGGACTTTGCTAACCAAAAAGTACAATCAGCTTGGCTACAGCCGTCTTAATACACAACGTATAGTTCGAACTCACTCTTGAATCCTCTTCCCTGTAGCTTTTTTGTATTTTGTGTCCACTCCCACCACCTTCCATTATCACTATCACTCTACATGGTCCGTTTTTGACAAATCCCTCCATACATACAGGCACTGACAAGAAAGCGCGTTGACTCCAAAAATAATCTAAAACCTCTTGGGGAAAATTATCAACAGATCCTATTGTTTTGCTGCTTGGCGCTGTTCCAAGAAGGACTGTTTGTCCAAGTTTGCAACGGCTTCTTTGCAGAAGGTCCGATTTGGCGGGTAAGGAAAGTTTAGCCAGATATTTCCAAGCAGCAACATGTGGTTCCAGGGGGTAAAAATAATAATTTTTGCAAATTGAGCCAATGAAGACAAAGTCTCATGACTTTGTCTTCATTGGCTCAATTTTTCCCCACAGCGACATAGGGATCTCCTTCCTCTTACTTGCTGCATGCAAACTTCTCCACTGGGAGGGCGGACCTTCCCTGTGCCCCATCATCCCCGCAGTCCTCATCCTGGGCGGAAACCACGAGGCAATAAATTCAGTCTTCACACCCACTCTGACAAATATGCCTTCACCTCCCAGGGTTGAAAAATAAATCCATACAGGATACGAAGACATTCTTCTCAAGAATTGTATACCAAGACAAAAGGGAGAGTACACATAAGCATAAAGAGTGTATGTAACAGCATTCGCCACATACACAACACATCACTCCACACAAACTGCATATGAACAAAGGGGGAAAAAAGAGGCACAGACCCATTAAACAGTTCCTGTTTGACTTCATATTTATCTAAATCAAAACAGAGTCTCAGTATTGTTGGAAAGTTTTTGGTTCCTCTTCTTTTTCAACTCAACTTCCA